GAATGGGAATGTGTATGTGGATCCGGAACTCGCCCAGATGGGAATTTCAAACTTTGTTTTATGTGTTGTTGCTATGTTAACAATAAAATTTTCGAGTATTAACGATCGAAACTTTGGACATCATGCACTTTTGCAAATAGCTCCACCAACACACTGTTTAAATTGTGTGTCGTGTCATTTCACTGTCACCAAGGATCCCAAACTTCATATGACTTCGTCATTAAAATATATTAAACGTTTTATTGTCACAGCTAACCAATGGGATAACGAACCCGATAGTTTTTGTCAAGATGGGCCCAACTGCTGGTCGAAACGAACCTTTGAAAAAGTCAATAGGGCCCAAAAAGTCAACATGGGCCAATTTTAAGTATATTTTAACTTAACATAATAAAAGAACCAGAAATTAAAAGTAATTCTTCTAAAACAGGTAGGTAGTTATTGGACTTTAATGGGCTAATCAAATAAAGCCCTTGATCATGTTACTGTACATTTATGTGTCTATATTTACTATAAATTTTCCGAAATCTTATGACAATTTAATTAGAACGTGACACTTGGCAGAATGATAAGACTGTTTTATCAACTGAAAAACCAATGTCCTCATATTAAAGAACTTCATAATAATTTGGTAAATCAAAACCATTAAATGTATTAATATTTTTTCAATTTATTTAGTTGTATATACTGAGTTATCTTTAAACATTGTTTGTAAATCAATATCAATAAACTAAAGACAATACATGTATACTAGACTACTGGAAATGCCGGTTTGGGGAGAGCAGGTTATTCCCTATTTTTCTAAGATCGGATAAATCAGTGAATAATTCAAAAATTTGATTAAGATAAACACTGTGTAAGTCTTTCGTGGTTACAAGCAAATTTTGACTTATTCAAGGACAATAACTTAAAACAATTCATCCAATATGAAGACTCACAACAGTCATGTTCCATTGATCACATCTATATATACATGCATACCAAAATTCATTAAGATCGGATAAATTCTGTAGCCTCTATCGTGTTCAAAGAAATATATGAGGGGGCCATTTCTATGTAAGGATATTTAAGAGTTTACCTTGGGACTTCGTGTTAAATTAATAGATACTGGCTACTGGCTATTATTGATGGCACATGCTATTATTATGTCAATCATTGTGGCTAATAGCTTTATCAAGTTTACAATGAAATATACATACACGTTACTTTAACGAATTCAATTCTCGTTGAGTCTGAGCCCTATCTTTCTGTAAAACGTTAATAGCTAGAGCGAACTGTGAAACGACCAGAGAACTCGCAGGTGATTTAACCGAACATAGAGTGAAATGATGACCGAACCTACGCGTGAATGAATATATATAAATTTATCTAATGGTTGTGATGATAGAAAGTTGGAATCACTGTAGGATTTAATGGTCATCTTCTATATCCACTTCTATCTGGAGTAGGCTTCAATTAAAACCATACTGAGAGTTAAAATGATGGTAATGAAGTTGTGGATAACAAATAAATGGGTTGGTATATTCTTAATGCTAATGGACGGTGTTATACGGCTTCAACCTTTAACGAATATGGCTTGTCACAGACAAATGTCATTGACACCAATTGACATTGATTGGGAGAAATCTCTCAAATCAGTCTTAAGTGGATGACTTCCAGTCTGTAGGATTTTACCAACCAATAACAGCAGATAATCAAACCATAATCCTACGCTTTCTGAACTTAGGCATTAGGTGCTTCGGTTCACTTTTGCGGCCAAAGCGCATCTATATACGGCTACCATAGAACTCAACTTGTCTGTATTCAAAGCAGCCGCTCTGTGGTAAATATTTGGAAGCCCTGCCCCGTTCGATGTGAACCTTATGCGATAATAAAGCCTTGGATGGTTATTTCTTGCTTAATAATTTTGAGAAGCATCGGAAGACATTGGAAGACATTGGACCAGAATTAAAAGTAGACGTGTTCCAGATTAACGTCTAAAAGAGTTAAATAATCAAAACATACTGTAGGTTAATCTGTGTTCTGATCTTACAGAAACGTTTATAAACATTATTTTTGGCGACCAATTTTCACCTATCGAACATTTATTGATCTAATGGTTGCTTATTATTCTATTCTCTTACCAAACATGTTTGTAGAGCTGGTATTCTACTCATTGAGAAAATAACTTGAAAACCATACGAAATAGCATTCAAAGTCAGTATGGGTAGTATTTTTATTTGTAAGAATTGGTTCTGTAATAACTCTTTAACAAGTCGAAGTTCACGGGGAGATATCATCTCGTGAATTATAAAAACATTCATTTTCAGTGTCATAAGCCTGGATATTTTTCTTATTTCAATTAAGATTTAAATCTGCAATTTGACAGGCATGTTTGTGTTTCTACTAAATACATTTCTAATAATTAGTAAGAACTGAAGTGCCTGTATATATATTTATAGGATGATTTATGTTTCATTATATGGGCTAAAAACAGCTTACATCATTGGGGAATTCTTGACATATATTTCAGAACATTAGTTAACCTTACCATATGGGACTATGACCTTTATGATACAAAATAGGACACAGTGTACCGATAAACAGAGTGCAAGATTATTAAGTTTACTAAGAAACTCTTTACTTTACTCATTAAAATTCCAATATTTTTTCAGATAGTTCAGTTTACCAATAAGAATACATATTGTCAATTATCATACAGCAATAGGCCTGTTAATTCCCTCGCGTTCTGGTGGTCAGAAAAAGTCGTTCTCAACAGATCTATGCACCAGTATAAATTTTCATGCCACACATATGAACCTTTAATAAAGAAAAGTTTTACCCTAACAGAATCTTTTCCCAAAACTATGATCATAATGCCTGTCACAATTGAGACTTGTTCCACATAATATGGCAGTAGTTATTAAAACGGACGTTGCTTGAAATGTCCCAAAAAGCTATCGAACTCAAAGTATCCTTTCAACAGTTTAAAGGGGAGGTAAATCGGATATGAATAATCTTTTCAAACAACAAAAATTTAATCTAGTTTGGTTTTTCTTCAGCGATAGTAAGATTTCGACAGTTAAATTTGTACCTGAATTCACCTTTTAATGAGCCAAAGTCAATTTGTGATTCTTTTAAACATATTTATTACAGTGTGTACAGGGATTTGGTCATTTGGGATTTTTTGATGATGCATTAAAGGTAGGTTTAATACTATTGAGTAAAATTGGAAATCCGTTCTGGAAACTTGCAAAGCCTAAAATCAGAGATAAATTAACACCACATAACAAATACAGAATTTTCTTGCGGGCATTAAACATATAAAATTTTTAATCGACAACTGCAGGAAAATTGTTCATATGCAAGTAAATTTCCATCTTCAAAAATTACAGAACTACAAAGCTGAAATGTCAGAAAAAAAAACTTAAATATTTGCCATAGGTTACGAAAAAGTGTCGATGTTCCTCTCGATAAGCAATATAGACCAAAAATGACAAAATACCTAACTATGCAAACAAACAAAATAATTAGACACCATGGTACTTGAAAATAACACATGACCAAATTAAAAACAATAACTGAAAGAAATGAGCTCGTTGGAGACAATAGTTTGGTAAGCTCATTCTGACAACACAAAACTATTGCAGAAAGGCTAATCTACTAGCTGATAGATAGTTGTAGCGACGTCCATTTTGGTCGAACACATGTTTGTCGCTTATATCAACATGAGAATATTATCGATATTAGTTCCCTGATTAAATAGTTAAACCATAATCTTTAATGAAACCATAAACATTATTTCAATGTCCGACAAACTGTACTTGGGACAATGGCAGTTTTCTGTGACCAGACAACAAAACGATCTGGAATAAGATAGTGTCTTTTACTTGAATGTATGGCATAGGAGTTAAAATAACTAAACCCTTAGTAAGCCTTGCCTATGGGTAAACCATTTGATCGCCTTCCAGTTGAGGACTTAGCATCTAATCATTTGTTAAATAAGTCTGGAAAACTGCTACATAACTATTAGAGTGGTGTAACCTGCATACAATGATTCAACACCGAATTTCGTCAAAGTTAAAAAAAAACGGAAATTTTTTTTTCATGTCTTAGATATTCTACAAAATAGTTAAAATTGGTTTGTTTCGATTTTCTTTACGAATCCCTCACTTTGACCCATATTTCATGTGCAACCAACTCGACAACGGCGTCAAAATGCGTCACCTATTTTCGTGTACAGTGATTGATCTATAAATAAGTCGAGAAAAACACGTTGTATGGATACCAAGTGTTATTATTAACTTTTCTTGGTATTTATCTTTCATTTCATTATAACTAGTGACAATTCCTTCAATGAACCACGATTTAAAAAAAAATAGTGACTGACAAAATAAGATATGTAGCGTGATTTATTGCTAAAAGTCATTGAAACAACATAAGAATATGGCCAACATTGTGTTCCATAATATGTTTCTGCTGACACGGAATCCGCTAGTTGATCAGATGACTCCATTCATTGGACTACATTCTAGCAGACGACACTTGGAATTCCGATTGCAGCTTGGGATTATAAGGAAATTCGGCCTATAAAAAATTGTGACGTTTGGTAATAATTGAAATCCGCCATTTTGTATTTGTCAAAGTATACATTAATACATTTTACCTTGCTTCCAATGTGGAGGTCACGCAATGTGGCACATGTAAATTATTAATCATTTCCGGAGATGCACGAAAAATAGGTTAGCACGAAATTAGGTTACTTGACTGTAATTGAATTCAAAATTTGTAAAACAAGATTCTTGGAAAGCCAGAATCAATGGCATTCAGATAAATTAGAAGACAATATATACAAATTAAAAGAGAATATTATTATTATACAGATGTTCTCACCGTTGCCAGCAGAATACATTTACCACCATAAAGACCTACATATAAGTACATTGATTAGTAACAATGTCAAGATAAGGCATTGATAAGAGTGACAAGGGTCAAGAATCATGTATTTTTTAGCACCAATTGTACTCGTTCTCCTACAATATGTTATTGAAGTTAACTCTGCTACTTGTGCATGTGCAACGTTACAGGTACACGTACGATCTGGGGCTGGTACGAAATATCCAATCCTAGGAAGTTTAGCTCAATCAAAATGTTTGACGTATGAAGGGAATCAAGTAACAGCTAATGGTTACAAGTGGGCACATGTTACTTATAATGGAAAGGTATGATGATATTTTATTTCTGTATCTGTTCATTCTACTGTCTTGCGCTTTTACCTCTACCTGGAAATGTATGTGTCGGCGATTCAAATATTTATTGTTTACTTTCACATAAATCCACTTTTTTATAATAACCGCTCTAGATCATTCTTAGTTCAATGCAAATGGAATGATGGACGTATTTTCTTTTTCAGACAGGCTATGTAGCAACTAACTGGCTTCATTTTAAAACATGCTCAGGTAATAAAACCAAAAATTTTTTGCAACTTTATCATTTACTATTCATCGATAAAATTTATCAAAATTCAATGTAACGGTATCCAAAGGTTCCGTTTCTAATTTTATATCGAGATTGTATCAATTACGGATTTTCAATGACTAAGTCGATGTGTCCATCTTTAAAAGTTCCCTTGCATTTGGCATTGTCAAAATACTTAGTTCTGTCAACCAACTTATGTTTGTTTGGAAAGATGAAAACATGTTACTTTTGGCAAAATAGTATTATACATACATAAAATAAAATACGAAGTGGAATATTGATTTGTCTGCTGTTTTGTTAACCAATCTAATTCCTTGTTTCAGTCACTACTCAATGCGCGTGTACTACAACTAGTCTCCATGTTAGAAGCGGAAGTAGTACGAGTCATTCAATAATCGGTACATTACAACCAGGACATTGTGCCCCCTTCCTTGGTGATAAAGTTACTAATGGTGGATTAGAATGGGCCCATTTGGATTTTGATCACACGGTAAATAGTTTGAAATATGAATTCACATAAATGTACCTTTGTCCTCAGAAATAAATTTCAATTATCTTTCAAATTACAATCTTCACATAAATGATTATAAAGTTTATATATCAAGTTTTTTAACCATTTGGTAAACATAAATAAACTACTCGATGTAGAATTATTTGTGTCTAAACGAACATTTAATGTATGTATCTGTTATCACCGAGTGCCATTTTGGAAACACAAATGTACATTATGTTACAAATAATAGTTTGTTTTGAAATTTATACTTAGAATGGCTGGGCAGCTGCAAAATATTTAACATTTAAAAATGGTTGTTCTTCTTCTACCAATACTGGTAAGGTTTTTACATTTATTTTTTGTAATTTGTTGTGACTTGGAATTGAAGCTTTCCTTAAACCTGGTACTGAACATACCTGTACATACCATGGCTTAGTTGAACAATGTACAATATACACGCCCATTGGGCCTTAAATTCGTGTAATATTACCTATGCATATTTAAATGAATGATTGTGGTCAGCACAATGAAAGTACTGAATCATTTCTTTCTTACACCATCAATGTGTGCCTTTAAAGAAATTCTCCTCACTTCAAATAGTGACGTCTTGATCTGATCAGGTTATTCTAGAATTATCGAAACCACAGACCACAAAGTTTAATGTGTCTATGATACACATATTAAGGCTGGATAAACCTCTTTTGAGGTTCCTTAAATGTTTTACTCCATAGCATATACCAATTACAGATTCCCAAAGAATCTGACTTTGGAGGAGCTTGTCTGTTGATTTTATCGTTGTAGGTACGCACACAGGAACAAGCACACACTCAACACAACAGCTACCAGGATGTCCACATATTGTATCAAGATCAGAATGGGGAGCCAGGAAACCTAAACATTCTGATAAACCTATGCCACATGTACCTCAGTTTCTATACATCCACCACTCGGCCTCATCACCATGTCATGATACTAAAGAATGCTCTAGATTGACCCGGATCGCCCAAGATTACTACATGGACGGTCATGGTATGTAGGATCTTATGTATTTTAGATGGTGACCTAGCACCCTGAGACTGATTTTTATCAACAGAAATTTGTGTTGTTCAATGTAGTTGAAGCTTCGGATGTGGGAGGTCAGCTGTGATGCAGTTACTGGTATCTTTTTGGTCTTAAGCGAAGTGAAAATTGGGTTAATAATTCGACCATTGATCATTTGCCCATATTATCAGAAATATCACAACTAAACCGAATATCTTAAAGTATTGATAAAAGTTGCTTTGTAAAGATGTTCCTTTTTAGTATGATACAGTCAAAATCTGGAGGAATGGAACTTTTCAGTACTGAAGATTGTCTTATAGGTAGGACATATTTTCAGGTTGGTCTGACTTGGGTTATACGTTTATGATCGGTGAAGATGGCAATGTTTATGAGGTACATGGTTGGGACGAGATTGGAGCTCATACACTAAACCATAATACAGATGGTTATGGTAAGCTATATTCACGTTTATATACTGAATTATTTTGTAATTTGTTACCACATGCAACTCATAATATCGCCCTAACGATGAACTTGGACCAAGCCAAAGTTGGGCTTTGTCTTGCTGAAAATTCCAAAATTTGCGAAAATTGATTGGATTAGATACAACTCTATAAAAAATGTTGATGTCTGGCTCATATATCATGTTTTTGGAACTGGCTAGATGATACAAAACCCTATTAAGTGTTAAGTATAATTTAATACCAGGCAAGGTGTCACTACCTCTCATTGAGAATTCAATCTGCCTATTCTACGTCTGTTTTATATCTATTCTAATAAAATAATAAAACATGGAATCGAGATTGTTTCTGACTTGATTGCTATTTGATATGATATCCTTCAAAGTGGTGTCATTTCTGTTATTACATTCCGAAAGTATGTATTTTGTTCCTGTAGAACCTTCGAATTGCAGACAACATACAATCAAATTATCTGTATGTATATAATATGGAAATTTATTAAGACTTCGTATAGCTTCGACTTATTCCAGCAAAAGTTGATACTAAAGTTCTGTGATGATTATTTTAAGATTTGTTCATGATTTTAGGTTTCTGTGTGATTGGTAATTTCATGGCCAGAGTCCCCAACACGAAAGCCCTGAATGCATTAAAACAACTGATAGATTGTGGGGTGAAAAATGGTAAAATACGATCGGACTATATCCTTAAAGGACATCGTGACGTCAGAGCTACTCTGTGTCCTGGACAAAAATTATATGATTTAATACGAACTTGGCCACATTATATGAAAAGTGGCCATGTTGTTGGCAAGTAAACAATAAAGTTTGTTAATATTAGCTTAGTTTGTAGTATGGGTGTCCTATTTGTCTGATTGTGAGAATTGTGGTGTTTTGTTGTTTTGTGTTAACTGTTAATAAGGAGTGATATTTTCTGCTATAATTTGTTTGTGCTTATCATTACTAGTTTTTATACGCCAACACAGAAATGTGGACGAATATTGTATATGTATTTGTATATGTACATGTATATATTGATGCGATTTCGGTTAAGTTCGAAGTTAGTAATAATTGGATGAATGATTTCAGGGTTATTGCCCTTGACTTAGTAAAAACACGTCAAATTTGGCTTGCAGGCACGCTATAGACTACAGTTTTTATCCGATATTGATGAAACTTAGTATATGTCTATATTGATAAGATAAGTTTGAATTTGGTCATATTCGGATGACAGTTTTGGAGTTACTGCCCTTGATTTAGTCAAAACCCTACAAATTTGGCTTGTAGTCATGATACAGGGTGCAGTTATTATCTGATTTCGATGAAACTTGGTATGCATGTATATAAGATCTCAGTCAAGTTGAAAATGGTAACAATCGGGTGAACGTTTTTGGAGTTATTGCCCTTGAATATATTCAATGCGTCTAATTTGGTTTGTACGCCTGATAGAGACTACATTTTTTATACGGTCTTGATGAAATTTGGTATAAGATCTCAGTAAAGCTTGTAAAAATCGGATGATTGGTTTCACATATTAAACCACTACAGACTTTGTTACTTTGTTATCATTTCTGACAGCTGGTAGTAGGCGTATGTTACCTTGCCTAACAAGCTATCTTTGTTCGTTGCTATCGGCTTTTGTTAGGTAGTAACATTTTTTTTTTTGTCAGTAATTTTGTTAATGACCATTTATTTATGTTTATCGTTGATAAATATATTTGCCCCCCCCCCACCCTCTCAAAAGAAAAATTTCACACTTGAAACATAGAAACGTAGAAAGAATTTTATTTATAAAAATATATTATAAATGATGATAAAATTTAAGAATGATTTTTGCTAAATATATAAAATAGTGTACAATAATACTTTGATATAAGAGGTTAGAGACAAGGCTGATTATCTGAGTAAATATTATACATTATTATATAATAAAATCACGATTCAGATTACACGGATTCACGAAATTTGATAACAGAGATCACGTGCATCGGTTTATATCCGTGTAAACGGAATGAAAATATAAGCTTCACCCCTTAACGAACTCATCATTGAGTTTGATTGGCGTGGCTACTACACGGCGTCGCTGTCGTTCCTTCGAACTTCAACAGAGCCGAAATCGACACAATCGATAAAGGTATTTTCCAAATTCCCTCAAATGTGCACACTCCAAATCTCAACAATAGCATGAATTCTGGACTTATTTAGAACTCCATCAACTTTCATGTTGACAGTAGACAGTAGACTATAAATAGGTGACGTACTTATTTTTGATTGGCTGTTCTCTAGGATTTATACAGTATACACAGGTTTTTTTTCTGTTTATACATCGATAAACTGAAAAAATGTTGAGGTCATTCCTTAAGTAATTATAATGGTCACATCGGTATGCGAATTAGAACTATATATAAAAATAAAAATTGAATCCGATATCGATAGATCATAAGTAAAATAAAAGCGAGATGGCCACTTTTGTAAAATAGAATAACAAAAAAGGTAAGTAATAACAACTATTGACATGTTATATAATACTGTGTATCGACCTTAGTAAAGGGCTTTATGAAGAACAATATGTGGAAATATTTTAAAACAATATTTGACACAACTATCATAAAGCAGCATTTAGCCTATCACATTTAAACACAATAATAATATAACTTGTACAGTTTATATGGCTTTGTGTTTATCTTTACCTTTACACTGAAAAGTGCTGCAGTCGTCAAGAAAGCATTTTTTAATAAAATTTTCACAATATTTTTTGCAATTACCTTGTTGTCAGTCTGTCAGTAATTTAGATGACATCATTGAACTCGATTGATTAATACGATTTTGAAAATAAATTGACTAAAATATTGATATTGACTATGATAGAACTTATTGCTTTACATTTATTAGGAATGGACAATATAATACACAAAGCAAACCCGATTAACTTGGCAACATATCAAAAATGAATATATATCACAAATATGCAAGGGTTTTGTTAAAAAAAAACGACGAAATAAAAAAAAGGACTACGTACAATGGTAACGTTTAAAGAAAAAAGTCTAATTTGACTTAAAGTGGGAATATGCGGGGATTTACTTCGTTATTTGGAAATATCTATATCATTATAGTCGTAAAGCAGATATAAAACTGAATTTTATGGTGAAACTTTTGTATAATCGTACTTTTTTTTTAAAAATTGTAATCAATTGTTCAACACTAATATATTATTGGAATACAAGATTTAATTCCCAATTCCTGTTTTCATGAAAATAACACAATTAAACCCTGAAGAAGGGCGATATAATTTGCAAGTTATAAAGATGTTTGTATCTGTTGTTTTAAAGATTATGTACTATACATTAGTATCCTAAAAATCTGGACATTGGTAAAATGAAGTTCAGATTTTTGACTCTTTTACAATCTTTGCTCATATTTACCTAAAAGTAGATATAAATTTTATATATAAAATCCGTGGGTAATTATCTCCCTTGGTTTGACTTCTGAAAGCATTATGAAATATTAAGTTTAGTTCTGTGGCTACGGCTGAATTAACCATGTTTGTAAAACAAATTGCACCTCTTTGCCAGATAAAAACCCTGCCTCCTATTCTTGAAAGTCTACGGTGATATAATAACGAATCCTTACGTCGGATTTAAATAAAGAGAAATTAATACAAAAAAAAAAAAACAAATTAGGCCTCTGTCGTCTAGTGAAGGAAATATTAAGATAATTATCTCATTTAAACATTTTGATTTACGTTACCCGATTTTCTTGGATTTGTTGAAAACGTTGGTCTTCTGATAGAGTACTGAAAGAGAGAAAATTGGGATAATTAGTTTCAGTTTATGTGAATATCATAATTGTCCAATATTTTAAAACATAAGTGGCTGTACATATGTACATTGAAATATACATTCAAATACTTACATCTGCTTTTGGGTCGATATGACTGAGATTAGCAGTAAAACTGGATGTAAGAGTTTGGTTGGTATATCCCTCACTGTCGTTGTCATAGTTTCGTCCTACAGATGCGTTGTTATAATCTGCTTGTACAAAGCCCTTGTAAATAAAATGAAATCGTCTGATGAAATGACTGATTATTTGGTTGGTAGATGAATAAGTATATTTATTATGTGGCTTATGATGTTCAAAATAATAGTCATTAGATGGATTTTGGTAAAAATACAAACATGGACACATAATATTATTTTAAACTTTACAATAAATTTGGTTTGCCGACGGCAATATTTAAGTAAAAAAGGGAAGTGGGTTTATTTAACATCAAATATTTAGCTCATAAAGGAAGAATGTCGGTGTCCTGCAATTGATGAATAATCATGTCTCGCTAATAAAAGTCACTTCTCCAACATTAATTACATGGCGATAATAATAAAAATGTACTTCATTGCTGACTCCAGCCTTTGAATTTTGATTATGGTAAAACTGAAAACCCTCCTCTTGTTTATCAGCAAAGTTTGTTAGTGGCATGTCACTAGTATCTAAACCAAATGCATCGTTCAATGATTCTGCATAGCTGTAAAAGACAGTAGAAATTATTGTGTGTGAAGTTAATACTACCATTTTACCTCCTCGAAAGTTTAAACATTGAAGGTTCTTATGTCTTTTATCCATGTCAGCGAAGGCTGGAAGTCAATGACATTGATAGAATTTAATTCGACTGTGTTAACAACAAAGCACAGACAATAAATGTTATAAGATGTTCCAAAAAGGAAGACCAGTGAGGCACTTAACACTACGATGTTATGCTGTTATTTTGGCAGTCCGATACAGCCAATTAGATTTGACATTGTACGGAAATTATGTCCATTATGACCAACTATGAACGTGTTATAGTCACTTAATAAAACCTTATAATGCTACTTCAGACTAAGGCGTATATGACTATTGGAACAAAGCTTTACTTGACAAAATATCAGTTTACATAGAGAATGAAAATCCTGTGAGACAACATTGACAATTCTTTGGTCCCTTTCAACCATAAACAACTCACTCGATGATTCATAGAAGTCAAGAAAGAAGTCATTTTGTCCAGCGAAACCGTGATAAATAAAGCCAGGCCCTGAATTTACTTGTCTCGTTGACTTACCGGCTTCGTTTAGAATATTTCACTCTCATCTTGTAGCAATAACATAGGAATGCAATCACTATTACCACGATGATGGCAAATGCTACAGCTACTGAGATACCTACTAGCACTTGCCACTTGAATGCTTTTTCATTACAATTTGTTCCTTGGTAGTCATAATATGTTTCACTGGTACATCTAAAATATGAAATATGAAAAAAATGGTTAACGACAATGGAAATGTACATCGTCTTAAACTTGAGCTCAGATGTTCGTATTATCAGATGAGTTTCTCTATACTTGCTCCTCTAACTTATTAACGATGACACTCGACCATAATCTAGTAGACTTTGCTGTCACGAATAGGTTGTATAATTTTAGAAACGACAATCTTTCATACTCTAACTGTGACATAATCACAATATACATGACAACATGCCACCGCAATCTAATTATGACTGATAAATATGAATCTTACCTGCACCTAAAAATTGTGTAATTTTGCAAAGACTCACAAATTCCATGTTCACCACAGCTTAGTTTTATACAATTATTTCTACACCGGTTTGATTCACAATGATATCCGTTGACGCATTTCACATTCGTAGCTTTACATACATCATTCACCATATCTGAGGCTATAAAATGGACATGCTTGAAGCTATTAAAATTGTAAAGTACAGGGGACCTTTCGAGTTACTCACCAGAGTTCAGAAGACAATGATATAAGGATATTATAAAATTATAACTTATACATTATATAACTCAATTATCTAAGAATCTATTAACATATCGTTTACATGACTTTCAAACCAACGTGCTTCAGAGAAGACCTCAATGATCATGATCAAATTGGTTTTGAACAATCATCGAAAATTAACATCAAAAACCTGATTTGAATCTAGTTGATATAGCTCTCGGAACATGCCAGATAACATCTTTAAATTTGAATTGTCCATCAGTGGCTTTACCTATATCGATACAAAAAATATCCCTCTAAAATCCAACAAATCGATAATACCAAGTAATTATCCATAAAACTACAAGTAATTATTGAAAAACACGTAAAATGTTTTTCAATTATTACTTAGTTTGTGGATTTATTGGATTTATTGTTAATGTCTGCCTTATAGTCGTGACATTGTTTAAATCCACCGATGACTATATAAGAATTTAAAATTCAAAGAAGAAGCGATATGTTAAAATTCATTCCGTACAATGTAACTCCAGAATTCTGAAACTTTATTGACTTTATAAATTTTTATGCAAAACAGATTTTGAATTGATAACAATGCCAAGCACACATAGAATGTAAAGGCGCGATACTTTTATCATATTTCACGAAACATTAATCATAAAGCAACTATATTAAAATGTAACAACCGAGTGATTTTCTTATATCAAAACCATATGACAACTGCATACTCAATTTCATAAAAACGTATTTATTTAAAGTTTAACGGCGTTATTAATTCACTGTATCTGGATTGAATATTCGTCATATTTCAATTGAGGACGCACAATCAAATGAACTGGTCAAGTTGATATTAGAAACGACTGGATTGGTAGAACTAGAATATTGCAACTAATCAAATGTCAAGTTGAGAGGAAATGACGAAAAAACGATCTCCGTAAGCAATCAGGCCACAAAAAGCTTATTTCAATGTGCAAAAGTCCTAAATTCAGAAGAAAAAAAACACAACTAGTTTGTTGAGAATCTTACTTCTCGTATGTTGCTCCCAAAACTTTTAAAGAATGGTGTAATAGCACGCTTACAGGATGCAAAATTTCTTAAATTATTTGAACTCCTGACTAAGACTTCCAGGTAAAGACCTAACGTTTCCAGTGGTAAATTAAATGTTGTAAATCAGCAACATAAGGCAATGCCTACATGACGATCGGATCTTTCCTCAATATTCGTCATGATCGAGGATAGATCCGCTCGATTGCCACGTTCGCTTTTCTAACCATTATTTTTCTTAAATACGAGGACCTCGAGTAATTAGCTTTAGCCATCGACAATTCTTACACCAAAATGAAATATGAAGTAGAAAAGAAATGTTTTAACAAACTTACAAGGTGGGTTGTTTTCGACCGACATACTGTAATTAAGGTAAGTGCTACTTGACACATTTGAAAAGGTATTGTTTAGAGTGTCTAAACTGTTTGTTTTATTCTGATCTTGAAAGCCACGAGCATCAACAGATAGAATACTTTTGATGTAAACACTACCTTCCCTGAAATACATATTAAACTAATTAAGTTTAGCTTTTATCATTAAATTTGCAATCAACCAAATCCTACTATACGGATGACTCTGTGTACAATCATCAAAAACTATGGCGATATTCTGTTCAAATTATTGTATAAAGCAGTTATATACTAAGTAGGTTGTATTCTTAGAAATTTTATATTTGACACAATATAATATCATTTAGTATGATTTGTTAGGGTGCCCATAATTAAAACATACATACCATATCTTCACAATTTCGTAGCTTTTACACAAACTTTTATCACATGTGTTAGATATTGTTCCACGTATCTAAAACAAGACCAAAAATGAAAAAAAAAAGTCTAGAATTGACAATAATTGAGAGTGCCAAAGTTTCAGCTGTCATCGAATCTGGTTAATAGTTTGTGTCTATGACATCGTTGAGCTGAAAACATGCCTCTATCCGCACATGAGATAAGATATTTTATTCTTGAAAATTTCATGTATGACAAAAAAAAGAGTACTTACAAACAAAGAGAATTCTGTTTCATTAAAATCAGTGAAAGCCATTTCAATTTTTATATCCATATCAAATTTAAACACAGCATCATCTGGAAAGGAGATATGTGCGTAGATACATGCTCCAGTATCGAAAATATTATTAGTTGACCCTTTGGTCACGATATGTAATACTTGTGTACATGCATAACAATGTTTTAATGGGAAAAGGGGTTATTTCTTCTTCAAAATAATGCTCACATACAACAACCACAGACAACCGAGGATATAATTGATCGTTGTTTTGAAAGCTCTGCAATCTTGACCGCTAAACAACCCACTTATTTATCCCCCACTTAATCGAATGACGTGTTCGAAAATATCCCTCTTTGTTATTGAATTATGAACGTACCAAGAATTGGATCTTTCGTTGGATATTGTGTCGTGGACTGAGCGACAGTAGTTGAACCTGTTGAGACATCTGTCACTCCGCTATTAGTTGACTGATTTGTAACTCCGACAATTGTTGTCTGACTCGTTGTTCCGTCATCAGTAACAGTTGTCTGACCAGTCACTTGGCTATCTGTTGTCTGGTCTGTTACTTCGTTATTTGTCGTCTGATCTGTCTCTCCGATATCTGTCGTCTGATCTGACACTCCGGTGCTTACTGTTGTCTGACCCGTTACGTCATTATTTGTCGTCTGATCTGTTTCTCCTTTTTCCGATGTCTGGACTGTCTCTCCGATATCTGTCGTTTGATCTGACACTCCACTGTTACTCGTTACTTCGCTATTTGTCGATTGATCTGTTGTCTGACCCGTTACTTCGTTATTTGTCGATTGATCTGTTACTCCGTTATCTGATGTCTTGCCTGTCTCTCCAATATCTGTCGTCTGATCTGACACTCCGGTACTTACTGTTGTCTGACCCGTTAAATCATTATTTGTCGTCTGATCTGTTTCTGCTTTTTCCGATGTCTGACCTGTCTCTCCGATATCTGTCGTTTGATCTGACACTCCACTGTTACTCGTTACTTCGTTATTTGTCGATTGATCTGTTGTCTGACCCGTTACTTTGTTATTTGTCGATTGATCTGTTACTCCGTTATCTGATGTCTGGCCTGTCTCTCCAATATCTGTCGTCTGATCTGACACTCCGGTGCTTACTGTTGTCTGAACCGTTACGTCATTATTGGTCGTCTGATCTGTTTGTCCTTTTTCCGATGTCTGGCCTGTCTCTCCGATATCTGTCGTTTGATCTGACACTCCACTGTTACTCGTTACTTCGTTATTTGTCGATTGATCTGTTGTCTGACCCGTTACTTCGTTATTTGTTGATTGATCTGTTACTCCGTTATCTGATGTCTTGCCTGTCTCTCCAATATCTGTCGTCTGATCTGACACTCCGGTACTTACTGTTGTCTGACCCGTTAAATCATTATTTTTCGTTTGATCTGTTTCTGCTTTCTCCGATGTCTGACCTGTCTCTCCGATATCTGTCGTTTGATCTGACACTCCACTGTTACTCGTTACTTCGTTATTTGTCGATTGATCTGTTGTCTGACCCGTTACTTTGTTATTTGTCGATTGATCTGTTACTCCGTTATCTGATGTCTGGCCTGTCTCTCCAATATCTGTCGTCTGATCTGACACTCCGGTGCTTACTGTTGTCTGAACCGTTACGTCATTATTGGTCGTCTGATCTGTTTCTCCTTTTTCCGATGTCTGACCTGTCTCTCCGATATCTGTCGTTTGATCTGACACTCCACTGTTACTCGTTACTTCGTTATTTGTCGATTGATCTGTTGTCTGACTCGTTACTTCGTTATTTGTCGATTGATCTGTTTCTCCGTTATCTGATGCCTGGCCTGTCTGTCCGATATCTGTCGTCTGATCGGACACTCCACTGTTTACTGTTGTCTGACCCGTTACTTCGTTATCTGTATTCTGACCATCAGTCGCACCATCCATAGACGGTGAAGTTGTAGAATCATTTATCGTACTTTCCTCGCTTGATCCGACTGACGGTGATCCACTTGTGGTTGATGCATTTATTAAGTGTAGAATGTGAAGAACTGAAATGGTGAAACCACGAATATTAAAGAAAAAAGGTTCTTAGGAATGAACATATCTACATAATTATGTTTGCTAATTTGTTAATATGCACCCGCGATCTAGATTTGTTCAATCTCCGTGAAAAATATCTACGTCATAGATGTGTTGAACCATGACTTTAGCAGAAAATAAGGTTACTTACCAGATATAAGGGCAAAGGAAATATGTAGTTTCATTTTTTTCTTTGCGTGCTGAAATGATTAAATGTGTTATTGAGTTTATGCAATTCGAAAATACTACCCAGGAGACATGGGAAACCTTCTGGAAAGAAAATCTTTTTTCTGGTTCGTGATTAATATGGATTAGGAAAGTGTTCATGTATATCTTTATTTCGTAGTGTTAATCAGACATCTTTTCTGATTAAAATAGTGTTAGCATCTTATCATGATGTTTATGCTAGGCTATCTCTGTTACATTGTGTTAATGCTAGCTCAATATCTCTTTTACATGATGTTTATGCTAGCTCAATATCTCTTTTACATGATGTTTATGCTAGCTCAATATCTCTTTTACATTGTGTTAATGCTAGCTCAATATCTCTTTTACATGATGTTTATGCTAGCTCAATATCTTTTACATGATGTTTATGCTAGTTCAATATCTTTTTACATGATGTTTATGCTAGCTCAATATCTTTTACATGATGTTTATGCTAGTTCAATATCTTTTACATGATGTTTATGCTTGCTCAATATCTTTTTTACATGATGTTTATGCTTGCTCAATATCTTTTTTACATGATGTTTATGCTTGCTCAATATCTTTTTTACATGATGTTTATGCTTGCTCAATATCTTTTACATGATGTTTATGCTTGCTCAATATCTTTTTTACATGATGTTTATGCTAGTTCAATATCTTTTTACATGATGATTATGCTTGCTCAATATCTTTTTTACATGATGTTTATGCTTGCTCAATATCTTTTACATGTGTTTATGCTTGCTCAATATCTTTTTTACATGATGATTATGCTTGTTCAATATCTTTTTACATGATGATTATGCTTGCTCAATATCTTTTTTACATGATGATTATGCTAGTTCAATATCTTTTTACATGATGATTATGCTTGCTCAATATCTTTTTTACATGATGATTATGCTTGCTCAATATCTTTTTTACATGATGATTATGCTTGCTCAATATCCTTTTTACATGATGTTTATGCTAGTTCAATATCTTTTTACATGATGTTTATGCTAGCTCAATATCTTTTTTACATGATGTTTATGCTAGTTCAATATCTTTTACATGTGTTTATGCTTGCTCAATATCTTTTTTACATGATGTTTATGCTTGCTCAATATCTTTTTACATGATGTTTATGCTTGCTCAATATCTTTTTTACATGATGTTTATGCTTGCTCAATATCTTTTACATGATGTTTATGCTTGCTCAATATCTTTTTTACATGATGTTTATGCTAGCTCAATATCTTTTACATGATGTTTATGCTTGCTCAATATCTTTTACATGATGTTTATGCTTGCTCAATATCTTTTTTACATGATGTTTATGCTTGCTCAATATCTTTTTTACATGATGATTATGCTTGCTCAATATCTTTTACATGATGATTATGCTTGCTCAATATCTCTTTTACATGATGATTATGCTTGCTCAATATCTCTTTTACATGATGTTTATGCTTGCTCAATATCTTTTTTACATGATGATTATGCTTGCTCAATATCTCTTTTACATGATGATTATGCTTGCTCAATATCTTTTTTACATGATGATTATGCTTGCTCAATATCTTTTTTACATGATGATTATGCTTGCTCAATATCTTTTTTACATGATGTTTATGCTAGTTCAATATCTTTTTACATGATGTTTATGCTAGCTCAATATCTTTTTTACATGATGTTTATGCTAGTTCAATATCTTTTACATGTGTTTATGCTTGCTCAATATCTTTTACATGATGTTTATGCTTGCTCAATATCTTTTACATGATGTTTATGCTTGCACAATATCTTTTACATGATGTTTATGCTTGCTCAATATCTTTTTTACATGATGTTTATGCTAGTTCAATATCTTTTACATGTGTTTATGCTTGCTCAATATCTTTTTTACATGATGTTTATGCTAGTTCAATATCTTTTACATGATGTTTATGCTTGCTCAATATCTTTTACATGATGTTTATGCTTGCTCAATATCTTTTTTACATGATGTTTATGCTAGTTCAATATCTTTTACATGATGTTTATGCTAGCTCAATATCTTTTTTACATGATGTTTATGCTAGTTCAATATCTTTTACATGATGTTTATGCTTGCTCAATATCTTTTTTACATGATGTTTATGCTTGCTCAATATCTTTTTTACATGATGATTATGCTAGCTTAATATCTCTTTTACATGATGATTATGCTAGCTCAATATCTCTTTTACATTTTGATTATACTAGCTCTAAATCTCTTTTACATGTGTTTATGCTAGCATAATATCTGTTTATGCTGTTGGTTCAAGCATCATGTCTTTATCATGTTTGTTGATACTGCAATCAATCATTTTTACATGGTTGGTATTGGTGCGATTGCTAGAGATGGTCGCACCATACAATGGCTATCGCTGAAAATAAACTAAACTTTATAAATCTTAAAAATAAAATTATTACAAAGAGCTTGCCCTTATTTTTCACCCAATGACTTAATCCCATATTGACCTTATTGACAATATAACCTTCTTATCAGACGAGGAGTGAACAGAAGTTGACCAAATAATGATAAACGGTCGGGTCTGAACATTTGTGACTCTCAAACAAGCTGAAAACGCAGGAAAAAAATTAACAGGGAACACAATCATTTCTGTACCGCAATGGTCTGCATAAAAGCTTTGTTAAGCTTCGACTTCATCAAAACAAAATAGCAGCACCACAGTGGCGGATTTTGGACTTGTTGGGCCGTAGGCATACGAACAGTAAAGGGCCTAATTTCTCATTTTAAGGAGGGGGCATGGTGTGATTACAATTTTATGGCAGGAAGTTTGCGATCTTTTTTCAGGAACGGTTCAGTCAGCTCATCTGCATCAATCGTATGCACGATATCGGCATTCATCACCATCAGGCTCAAACAATTTTTACTGTTACAAAATTTGTTATGGGCCGAATTTTCCATGGACCGAAAAGCAGCTGCCTAGTTTGCCTATAGGTTATTCCGCCTCTGGTCTGGAATAGTTCGCTGATTCACCAGCTACGGCCAGGAAAACAGAGCGACAACAGTTGTGTTACTATCTAATGTATTTTTCTTAGTAAATTTAAATGAAAAATTTCACCTCTTATAACAGTTCAATTAACACTCTCAGAAATTACAAAATTGTAAAATTGAGCCAATTTCCATCAGTGAAAACAAAATTAATGTATTTTTGTTTGTGTATTATAATCTAATTTCAGATTATTATTCTAAAATGTTCCGGGAAAGCCTAAATTTTAGACAACGCAGTGTAGCAGGATATAAGAATAAAATATAATTTATCTTATATCAAATCTTTTATCAGATATAAATATTAATGAGAGGTTATAAAAGAGTCAACAGACTGTTTCGGATAATGACTAAGAAAGAAATTCGAAGACCTCCTGTGTATGTATATTTACGTATATAATATTGGATTACATTATGATATGATAATGTCACTATAAAACCTAGAATTGGTTTACTCAGTAAGGGCTTACAGCAATAAACTACACTTTATATCTAGGTTGTCATACCGGGTTCACAATTTCCCTATACAAAATTCCACACAAACAGAAAGCTGGAAAGGGGAATTATATTGGCAGATAAAGTGTTAAAAAATTCTTTCCAGACACAGAAAAAAAACAAGTCACTATTTGAATTCTTTTCAAAAATGATGGCGACCGAAACAATGCTTAAAAGAGTATAACATAGTTTTCAGGTCTTTAATGACTACTGTGTCTGCTGTTATAACAGATTATTTTTAACAATGCTGTAAAATGATGATATATTATGTAGCTTATATTTCCAATATGGCTCATATCACGAAGACGCAAAACCAATGTACGTAACAATAAATGACAGATAGATTGCCATCCAACAGCAAGAAATCATTTCATTAATTTTTCACAAATCACAAATTTAGCATATACATAAACAAAGAAATAAATAAATTGAAAACAAGGGCAATAACTCATATAATTTGATATTTTCTTTTCGATTTTCGATAGGATACGTAGTACCGTTTGACAATATGATAAAAACGGGTCTAAAAACTGAACTAATTTCAATGGAAATTAAATAGCAGATTCAAATGCTCTGGATTAACGGATTACGGTTTCATCCATTTATAATTGTGTAATATTTGTGTGTTCGCTCCATGTCGACTTATTCATTAAATATCAGACCAAAAAATTCTAATAAGGAAATTGTTAGTCTTTTTAAAAATAGTCATTCGTTTTTATAGAAAGAAATGTATTTGAAATAAGCAGAAAGTTAAGTATGCTTACCAATAATTTGGGTATTAGATCCTGAATGAATATATGAACATATCACATCTGATCCGACAGAAAGGAGTGGTATTAGGGTATTACTGATAAGAAGGAAATATGATTTATATCAGTTATAAAGAAAGAGATTAAAGGGACGAAGCCTGGTGAACAAATTTTGATTTCCTCGTCACCGAATTCATTCTCTTGGTATGAATGTATGATCTTCGTACTACCTAATATTTTCGGATTTGACTTTTTGTACTTGTTCAGTCAGTTCATATTACTTCATTTGGTTCATCCATATTTCATAAGTTGTCCTGAAGACGATTCTTCAACCCAAACAAATGTCGACAATATTTGGAAAATGATCGCCCATGTTTCGAGGATTTAACTTTAATGCAGTATAAATATTCCGATTTCTTAAGTGATAAAGGCAATAGCACAATGACGATTTTATGTGAATTTTATGATATCTTATCAGGGCGATATAATCAAGAATGATTCAATACAGACCTGTCATAAGATACAAATTTTCGATACTTGTATTTCGGTATATATATTGAAAATGTCTGATTATAATCCTCATGATTTAGTAGGAATATAATATATATATATATATAGTTACGAAATGTGTTCAAAATACAGTTCTAGATCTTTCGATATATTTTATTTCAGAATGATTGTGTGAACAAAAAGTGTCATTTGTTATTGATGCAAGTCAGAATGCTAGAACATTACCGGTCATTTTCCATTGGCGGCGCCAGACTCCAGAGACTGATAGGGCTGACTAATGGGGGAAAACTGTCGAGGCTGAATTCAAAATGCGGCAGTTCTGTGGAGAACTCATGGAGCGTCTGAGGTGGTTCTGGCAAGACAATTTTCGCAAAGGTTGAATTGATTTTGTGCATTCTGGTACATTTTTGGTTCAAAAACGTAAAACAACCATATTTTAAATTTGTTAGAAATAAAATGGGAGTAGAATTGGGGATGCAAAACCTTTTTCTAGGCGAGCAAATGCCGACCCTGTACACCCACTGGCGCCACTACTGTCATTTACATATCGTTATATTATGCTATGTATGTTTTTATTACGTGTATTATGTAACACTATTACATAATATTCACTTGCTCAGACTAAGTGGATAATGAAACAAATGAAATATATTGAATAGTTATAGCGATGTAATATCCATTAAATGTTGCTTATAACATTTTAAAGCTTCGCCGCCCCCATAATCCGACATACAATCTCTAACACTTTACTGGCCACTTTCTTGCGTATTATTGACTTATTGAGAAAGGTCACAACGCCGATTTAAAGATTTAATTATGATTTCCTCCTGGAAGAGAAATTTTTCCTGTTTCAATAAAATAGACGAGGAAGGTTTTTTTAATGTAGGCAGCCCTTTAAAAATAATTTTTCTACATAGAATACAAAGAGATAATATTACGGATAATTCATAACAGCTAATTCATTTTTAATTTATTCGACTCGCATGTATTTGACAATAGTCCACCACTTAAGGTCGTACTTAGCAAAGTACACGAACTAACTGAACACTACGCAGTAATCAACAGCAACTAGGGTTACTTATATTCGTATAATAATTTTCCTGTTTAAGGGGACATTCCGTTTCTTTTGTTGGTGGAAATTTTGTTCTGGTCAAATTTGTGAAAACTATACACAAAAATCTAGAGAAATGAGTTCCTTAACGTATCTGAAAGTTTCAAGTAAAACATCCAGCCGTTAATTTTGTACGCCAAAAAAGTTTATGTGATTTACGTGAACTTTTAAATTTCGTGATGCTTTTTCGAACTACTGTAAGGCTTTAAGGGGATTGTAAAGACGTTTTCTGGACATTTTATGTGTATCGGGAACATATTTGATTTCTATTTGGGACATTCCAATTCTTCGTCCGATGCCTATGTCAAACCGCTTAATTAGCAAATAGTACCCTCTGTAATTAACCCTTTTAAAACAAATTCAGTTTGATCAAGTAGATACAAAGATATAAATAAATATAAATATTTTAAGGTTTTTGAAAATGAAAATTTTGCATATTGTCCCTTTCAGCGCGCAAGTAAAATTGTTGCAAATTTATGTACTAAATGGCATTGTATTATCACCGATAAAAGGTGAAACAAGACGCAAATACTATTGTGTACTTGACGGCGATCACGGATGTAAAATGATATTTCATTATGTATAATCATATTGTCATTTCCATACAGCCAACGCCTATCAGTAGTATCTCTATATTTCGATAAGATGTCTATTTAAACTCTATTCTATATACTGGTAAATTGCTTTCGATGATAACCCGAATATCATTCATTGAAAATGCTTCGTCATACTTCCTCGACCATGTCAAAACCCGTATTCGTGATACGATGAGGCAAAGTCTGCTTATGACAGGAATTCAAAGCTTTTTACTTGCTCGATTAGCACAACTCTACCACTGACAATAGTGTACATATTGTTGGTGATTATTTTTCGGATTACAATACGTTATATTATTTGCAAACAAAATTGCACTTGAATATCAATATCATATATCAAGAAGATTAAAATATACGATATGGTCACGATTTTTAAGTCGTGATATTATTATCTATAAATACAACTTTCACAGTATTTCTTTCAAAAATATCCTTTTTGAAAAAGGGAAGTTACGTTTGATGTCACCAACTTCGTTTATATTTAATCTCAGAGTGTTAATCACGGTCTGAAAGTTTGAATATCTTTATGGGAGAATGGGAATGAGAAATATCTTTCATTCCCCAATCCAACATTTCTTCTATTGAACGTTTTGTCACCTTACAGAAGTTAGGCAGAAATTACTGAAACCTTTAAAAATGATTTATTGTTATTTATGAAAACGAAAATGCTAATACTTATATGAATAGAAAGTAGAGATGTTCCAATGACTAGTTAATACAAGTTTGTCTCACATGTCCACGCGGTAATCAATTCATAATAAGCTAACTTATAAGAGAATTACAAGCAAATTTCCTTTAGTGACCGATCAAGAAAGGTCAAAAGTCCTTTTTTGTTTATCAAGACTGAACATACATCATTACCAATTCTCTTGCCGGAACTGCGTCATTTCTGGAATTACAGGACGAATGTTCCAAATAGAAGTCAAAGGTGCCCCCGATACATTTAAGAGGGCTAGAGAACATATTTACAATCCCTTTAACCGAAGAACGTACACAATGAATTGTTGAAATTCTTAGACTGAGGGCAAATCTAGAACAACTGTTTTTGCCAGTTTGTCCTCTGTAAGGATATTTGGAGATTGCGATTTTTCCCCTTTTTGGAGGCTTGGCACAGATCAACAAGAAACTTAAATGCAGTTTTTCCGTCCCTGTCTGTCCATTGAAATTAGTTTATTACGGGCGAGTTTTGACCCAACAGGATTTAACAGTAATTAATTAGGTATTTTCAACATCAGTATATCTGTTTAGAGCTAAACAGTGATATATCCGGTTCTGGTGTCAAGCAATTAACATTTCAATAATGGTCTATAAGATTAGCTTGTCAGGCAAGATAATATACGCCCACTATCATGTTTACTCCTGAATAAAGATATTTGGCAGTACAGTAACAATCACCAGTATGATATTCAACCTTCAGTCATACACTTCTTTTGAATTTTTTGGGGCGAGACTGAATGATATTACCAAGTTTTGTCAAAATCTAGCTAAAATTGTTTTTTTAGTGTTTACGAGCTATAAATTGAAAGCCTTTTCAAGAACAAGGGCAATAACTCATACTAAATATTTTTCTATCCTTTTTATTTTCAATAGGGTTTATTGGCTGATAACAAACATTCACACCAGGTTTCGTCAAAATCTGCCTTCTAGAATGTTTATGAGCTATTTAATGTGGGCGTATAATAAAAGGATTCAATTATTTATTTGACGTTCACTATAAAGTTGGAAATATTTTTAAAGTGGATCAAATTAACGTTGTAGAGACAGAGTGAGTAACGCCTTTTTATTTTATTTTAATGGTTTATGAAACCTGAATTTTGTTAACTTAAGTTCACCGTCTCGTTTAAAAATATGTTGTAAATGTTTTAGAATGAAGCTGCTGATCTTCTTAACAGTTGTCGCCATCTTGGTTTCCCAGACACATAGCTGGTGGAGAGGAGGAAGACGAGCAGCTGAAAGCGTTGTTCGTTTTATACGGACTGGTGGAGGATTAGTGGATAAAGATCCCATTGGAAAGAGAGATGTGCACGCCTACATTGAAGGTGATCTATTAGAAAACGATAAAAAACGCGAAACTGATTGAAATTGGATGAAACCGGTAAGTTGCCCAGTTTGATGTTCGATCATCTTGTATTCCACTTTTTCGCTCGAAGGACTCAGGCAGGTAAATATAATTCATTTGCCATCTGTTTCCATGTTAAATCACGAAATTCAACCTTCTGTAACTTTTTTCAGAAATCTCGTTGAAAACTTTCCAATATGTCACATAAAATCCTGGCCGATACTTAGTTTCTAGAAAGAGGATTTCTAGATATAACACGGACTAGATTCATATACAATCATTTACATCAAAAGTAATAGTGATCTGAGTCCATGAACAGAGAGAAACAATTTGGAGTTATTTCCCCTGTATGCTGTATAATTCTATACATGATTTTATTAACTTAAATATGCTTCAATATTTTATTAGTTATAGATCTGGTAAATGTTCCAAGAATGAATAAAAAGAATCTTCTCAGTATTCATATTTTGGTGTCATGCGCATCACCTCGAACAGACAACATCCCACTCTATTAAAATACATGCTCAATTTTGTATGTTTTATTCATTTTTCCAGGGAGGGTCGATGCCCAAGTGACCCCACTTACCACATATTGCGGAAAAGCTCATTTGAGGCGACACAAGCAAACATGATATTTCCTCGTTTTTTATTCGCCAAACCGTATGATTGATTTTGACACTTCCCTATGTGTCAACTCCATTAATTGTTGGGATTGTTGAATCGAAATGGTGATTATGGTGTTATAACACAGCTTACTGTGAAGTGGGATATAGATTACAAAACAAATACCACAAAACCTAGCAATGGAAGTTAAAATTTTATTGACAGAAATACAATATTATATAACTTGATACAAACATATTAGTAGACTATTGCTTGTCCTTAAAGAACGCCTGCGTTCAGACAGCACAAAACGATTAACAACATAAGTATCGAAAATGTTCGGATGCACTAAGGAGCCAAATTCAACACGAACTCAATCAGAACGCATATTCGAAGTCTATCCAATGAAATCTGGTTGTTATATGCGGATGTTGATCTTAATTGGATACAATTCGCAAAACGCCAAATTCCGTTCGCGATGAACATTCTGTGTAGGTGAATAGGTGTATTCGAATGGTTTGACGATTCATATTCTAAACCTATCATTTTGAATAAACTAGTGCAACGTGTAAGTAAATAAGTATTAAGCTTATTTCTAAACCATTTTATCCCACAATGCACCAAATATATCCCTCAGTATACAAATGACATAATGATTATTTAAGCATTATTTTAGCCCCATAACGAATATTAGTGAAGTACAAAATCTTATTTTGAAATTTTAGAGAAAAAAAATTCATGGTAGAAATGAACCAATCAAAATCATATATTATATGGAATTCTTAATTTTAATGAAAAGTTAAATACAAATATTGAAAATTTGTTAATGTAAATATTATTAGAAAGCACTTGGGTTAGAATTCGAAACAAAATTAGTATAGTGAATAATACAAAATTATTTTTTTTAAAAAAATAAACAACGAAAGTTGAATGTTATTTACAATATGCTGCCCTCCTTAAACCTCATATATGGCACGAAAAGTATAAATAGTAACACATATTAACCAATCATTGAGCACTTGTTACCCGTTTTTGAGCAAGAAAGATACGGCAACCTAGTATTACAAAGTTTCCAGTTATATCCACTAAATCGTCTAGAGCACTGTTCTAATTGTCGTAGAATCTCGAAATGGAATGGAATTTACCAAATTAACATATTCAAGTGTTCACAGAACAATAGCTGAGTATAGATGCATTAAAGATGCCGATGAAATTTACAACATTCAAATAATTTAAATTCAGTTTTCCTAAATGACATTTTGATTCTTTGATCACAGTCTTTGATTATTTAACACTCAAATTCCGAACGTGATCCTTACTGCGACCAGAGTGTTGGCACAATTAATATGCGTGACGCATCACCTGAACAGTGAAATAGACATTGGAACACCGGGAAAACTGGAAGACAATCGGGAATATTGAAAAGTCTTTGGTAGAATTATTCTGCTGAGATCATTTCCTGCAATAAAAAGGTAAATTTCGGGATATCAAATCAAGCCCACATTAATGTTTTTTTTCTATCGAATACTTATTCCAATCAATTAAAGCTAGAATAAAACAAAACAATTTTTCTCATAAAATCGCAGTTGATGTAATCTCACGAACATATGATATTACTAGAACGGCATTATCTTTTAGTTTTAACAGCCACACCCCCCTGAAAAATTATGATTAGCTCGTCCTTAATGTCAAAATATGCATGGTCATTCAAAGGTTGTCATTCAGAAAAATTTATTCGTCTGCTTATCGAAAACACTACATTTTTGTGAAGAAATTCAAACTTGAAACTTACCTAATATTTAAGCATGGGTTCCCATAGCAGGGTCGTTATAAATATCGAGAGGCTGTATTGAAATTCTGGGTCTGTCGATATACTACATTAAAAAAAAGCGGAAAATATATTTTTGAACAATTGTCGTATTTGTATCTATTCTCATAAATGTGATATAGTTAAGTGTATTTGACACAAAACATTATTTCCAGTAAAATATATGTACAATGGTATCAGGAGAAATGCGGAAGTGGTCCTCTTTCGATTTCAGTTGTACCTCTGTTTCGAATACAGTGAGGTTACACAAACACTTACCATATTTGAAATACCAAGATTTGAACTTTGATCTAAGTAGCCCTGCATCAGATTATCATCATCACCGTAGTAACTGTATTCCATATCCCTAAAATTAATAAATATAATAATAAAAACTTACTGTAAGAGTACAATCATCTTCAGTGGATGTGTTGGTCAACGGTTGACATAATAAAAAGAAGCAAAAATGTATCCATTACCCACAATTACTCTAAACAATGACCGGATAAATGATTCTTATTTAATATTAAATTGACTTACTTTTCACTTCTCTTTCTACAGAAGACAATGAAGAAGAAACATGAGGCAAGAGCTGCTATAGCAAGTAGTGTGCCAACAGTTATTCCTACAACTTCAGCTGTAGATAGTTCACCGCTGGTAACTGGTTCTTCTTTTTCACAAAACACTCCACTATTTTTAGTTCCACATCTGAAAATTGAGCAATGTTGTTGATGAAATGAACTGATCTTTCACTTCCTACTAGTGTATATACTATGTTTATAAGTATCAATATGCAAACTTCACTTTCAATTTTGATTTGAATAAATAATAAGACCACTTACTGGCAATAAGGTTGATTGTCACCATCAAGAGTACAGATAGCTCCATTCTGGCATAGTTCATTCAATTTGGAGGCGTAACAGGCGTGGACACAACTTCCTTCGTACTCTCCAGTTGTGGTCTTGCCGGGAGAACATATATAACCAGGATCACAAGGTTGATCACTCTCACAGACATCGGATAAGAGAATGTCAACTGAAAATTTAGAACAGATGTATGAAATCTTCGAAAACTTTCATAATACGACAGAAATTTATCCGCTGAAGGCTCATCATAAGGAAAGTTCGGAAGGTATTTCATAATAAGATGACTACAAAGATTAAGTTTCACTCTGTTTTACGACCTGGTACAACACGCGATGTTCAATTACACAATTCAATTGTTCAAATTGAACAAATTCGGTTTACGTCCAAAGGGGTCGGATGCGAAATATCTGAGATTATGAATTATAGGCTACTGATAACGCTGATAATTTTGAAGAACTTACGTTTTGTGATGAAGTCGTCGACCTTGATATCAATTGGTAATGTTTTACTGCCAGAAATCTCATCAGTGCTGCTGAAAACGTCTCCAGCTTGTCTCAGTGTGGTGGTATAATTTTCTTTTCTTTCTTCTGGGTTAGATCCCAAAGCACCAATAGTATTACCATCCAAAACGATGTCAAACTTAGCTTGTGGACGATTTTTGCTATAATTGATATTTTAATTGATGTTGTAGACAACGAAAAACAACTGGAAAGTGTTGGGCGATCTCAATCCAAGACACAGAAGTTGAATGACTATTCATGTTACGAAGAACAAAATTTGTCCTTACTTTCTCCACATTCTTCGACAATGCCATTTAAAACAGTGGGCACTACTATCAGAAGTCATATGACCCGATAGAGTTGATTGTACGTAAACACACCAGGAAAAATTTTATTCTTACCTGTCCAAGGTGATATCATCGGTACTAACTTTGATATATTTAAATCCAGGCATAAAACTGAATCGTTTCGTTAACTGAAATTATACAAATAGCCATGATGATCTTATTCAACTTATGATTTTTAGACATGCTATATGATGCCATTGTAAAATAACCGATTGAAATGTATTTACAGTGAAAGTTATGTTGGGACAGAATCAATTTGGATTGTTGAAATCACTGTAGTGGATGAAGAACATATGGTACGTTCGTACGTCGAATAATCCTGATAATATAAGTTCCTAACACTTTATTTGTGCCAACTGAAATAACTGTTTACCTCTGTTTCGAAATCTGTACGTAATTTAAGTTTTTCTGCATCCGTCAAAGAACCATCAGTATCAGAATCTTCCAGTGTGATGGCCAATTCGATGGAAAATTCGGGATTTTCTGCAGTAAAGAATATTTTAAATATCCATGAATAATATGATATTATCGTAGTTTGTCTTGGAATTCCGAAATGCTCACGTCTAATGGAGCATTACAAAGTTTCTTATTTAATAAACAAATATCAATGAAAAATATAATAGTTCTAAAGATTCGAAAGATTCGAAACCATTCCTTGTCAAGTTCCATAGCTTTTTAATCATGATATAGTCAATGTTCGTCAAGTTCGAGAGGTCGGTGACCAGGTCATTGATAAGTTTCAGAGCTCGGAATTGAAGCCCGGTTCCAAGTTGATTAAAGTTTAGAAAGCACATCAATGCCAGGTTTAATAGCTAGTCACCAACAGGTAATTATTTTCATAATTTGGTGCAATCATAAATTATATCTGGTGGTGTCTTACCGTTCGTTGTAGTACTCTCTTCGAAAAACCCTAAAATATAAGTGTGAAAAATAAATCAATTACAAATACAAATATATAGTCTATTTTATGAATTTATGATTGTCTAATGAGCCTGCGTTCCTTATATTTGAACGATTAGCTGAAGTTCGTGATCATTCGATCCTCCGAAGCGCTTACATAAAAATGTAAGTATTATATATGTGTTTCCTACACTTAAACGAGATAACTAACTTACCGGCCCCGGATCCGCCGTCAGATGGGGCAACCTGTCGTCTGTATCTATTTATAGATTCATCACTTATAGATCGTAATATATCATCATCCGACTCTTCTTCTTCCGACTCTAGGAATAATAATAATAATAATACGTTTTGCGAATATCGTTCTAAAATTACAGAAACCACATACGTCAAATTGGAGATTGAAAGGATACAAACAGAAGCATTAAGTGACCAAAGGCTAAAAGTTCTTATATGAATATCTTTCATTTAAACATATGTTTATAAAAAAAACGATACCCGATGTTTTTTATACACACATTTATAAAAACGAGTTCATCACAACATCAGGTAGATGCACACACATACGAGTTAAATTAAGCACGAATCATCAGATGTGTCATTATTCTAAATGTATATTTTCACTTTGTAAATGAGCCCAATCTGCTGTATTCAATTAAGTCCCTAATATACTGAGTAAATAAGGAGACGTTCACAAATCAAACAACCATGTAATATTGCTCTTTACTTTCATATATGCCTGAGTTAGAGTAAAAAGAAATAATAAAAAAAAATAGCGTACAATATGGGGCGTAGACGATAAAAATTATGTTATTATGTGAAATGCTAATGTCATCAATAAGCTTTTGCAGATAAAATTCAGCATAATCTAAAATTGATATATTTCGTTTTGCAATGTCAAACGGACATAAAGTGAAACTATTCAAAGTACTTTAATATTTAAGTAGGTATAAAGATACAAAAGCCGTGTTATCCCGTACCACAAAATATATAAGATCGTAAATGATGGTATCATGACGTTTACACCATGTTTCTACAGCCACGACAATCACGGTTCAAGTCACAGTTGGAAAACAGGATGAACGTGAGAAAACGTGGGGAGACGGGATAGACAAACGTAACAGACCGTAATTGCCGTGGATGCCGGGGCCAGATTTTTAAACTGTCACGTTTCTTACTGCAAGCTAGGGTCAACGATTTGCAGGCCGGGACATTACGGTACGCTGAGTTCTGCTACGATGCGAGTGGTCATGAGAGGTGTATAAACCGCGAGGAAACTTAGCACAACCTTACAAAACTTGGATATTGAAACAACAATGACCAAAATCTCATGAACTACTACGTTTCGGGCAAACGGGGCTGTCGTAGCCGCCAGGAACATACTGTAAACGTCGAACAGACTAAATGGGATGGACACGTGTACGTATGGCACATCTCGCCCAAAAGGTCCTAGTGTTCGAAGTGCAGCAATGGTCCACACCTTAGGCAGTCTTATTTCGTGAAAATTCCAATTTGCTGCTATCGACTGAAAACCGTAACATATAATTTATAGACAGGGAACATAATGTATACTTTCCGAATTCGGCGAATGGTGAGGGATTGTGGGTATTATATAAAAAATCGCTTGGATTCTTCGATTTTCTCTTGTCGTACTCAGTAGGCTACAAATGGTTAAATAAATCCAATTTACCTTGAATGTGGCTGTTGGCTTGTTGGGTCGAGAGTTCGTTGTTATGAGTGGCAGAATTAATATAGTGATTGTCGATGACTGATTCTGGGCGACCAGCACCTAGAGATTTTGGAGTGATGGCTAATAACAGGTTTTCTTTGGCTAGCAAACATTTCACATCTTTTTCCTTGCAGGGTTGATTAACTGTTGTCTTTGTAAGACTTTGTTTAGCTGCAGAAATAATGGAAAAATTGTATTCAGTAGCCATAGCATGAGAAATAAGTATCACCGCTCCCTTCACGACATACCAAAACTAACCGTTGTCCCAACGGAATGCTGAATTTTATGTAATGTAAACGGACAGCCGCTACCTTTTCTCCCGAAGTGCTACTGTTAAGCACATTTAGTTGATCACATAAGGCTAATTTCACATTCTTTCTTATCGTAGGCTGATAGTTATAAAGGTTAGATCAAATTGTCCGTTTAATGTATATGATATCGGTTTATGAGGCAGAAGCTGTTCGTGCATACTTAAGCAAGAGTACACAAGACGCAGTGGTCTTGTAGGTAGTGAGTAGTATTAGACAGTAGGGTGCCAACCATGACCTTTACGAACAAAACGTCTCGTCTCACAAAATTTAGTAACATACAAACCTTTAGGATTTGAAACAGATTTGGGTTTGACTGGGTTTGGCGGAATAGTTTGCTTTGATTTCACAGGCAACAGTTCCTTCGAAGAAAATTCATCTTCCAAGGACGGGGGCGATTGTCTCTTTTCGTTAGTATTGTCTATATTTTTACTAGATTGCACAAGTTCTGAAAAAAAGAAAACGGAAAACATTAAATACACGGACATGAGCAAAATTAGTCAAGATATCTTTTCTCTGCAATTTCAACATTTAAAAAATCTCAGAGTGACGGTCAAATTCAAATTGATATCTTGTATCGTTAAATTGATCTCGTTTGTTAATCGAAAAACTTTTTTTCACGAAAGGCGGAGCAAAAACGTTGCTATTTAAATGAATGCGGACAATAAATAAGTTTGACATGGGGTAAATTGTAAGCGTAATAATGGACGCACTATTCCTTGTCAAACTTATCTTCCGAATTGGACATTTATTAAGCGTTTAACACCAAAGAATGTGTTTGTATTTGGCTTCGTAAGAGTGACCGATCACCACATTCCGAGCATCGTGAAAACCAATGTTCAATATAAAGTGTTTTATCCATTGCATTTCAAAGATTCAAGTATATTATCTGCAAGCTTCTATAATGTTCGTTCGTCATAATATTGTTTGCCTATTACGCATATCAAGACATGAGAAGTGTGTTGACATGCAGATTTTCAACGCGTCTGAAATTGTTTTTAAGAAATATTTCCTTATTGGTTGCGGAACCAGAAACGGAAGCGTATTTAGTGAGTAGGGCTATTTCATGTGGAAATGGGAGTCATAACTGGATTTCAAAGTCAAACTCTGCTTTACTTTATTTATGCTTACCTGGTTTTGATTGGTCAATATGGGGTTTTAAGGGGGAAGTTACTTTAACCGGTTTCGATTTTGCAATAGTCTTTGTTTTAACCGGTATGAGTAACTCTTGTGACATGAATTCGACGTCATCCTTGAGTGAATTGACTTCATCATGAATGATCCACTTAGATTGGTCAGCTGAAAAAAATAAGAAAGAAAAACATGAAAATTTTTTAAAACGATTGAGTTTCTACCATTTCAAAATTAGCGTCTCCTAAGTAATAACTTATATATATTTTAAAAAGTTAAAAGAAAATATAAAACTATGTTTTCAATTGTTTGATTATTATTTTATTTGTACAGGTTTAAATATTGAAATATTACATAAACACATGACACTTACCGAAAACGTTTACGAAGTAAGCCGCTATTAGCAGTGATATCCGTAAATTCATCGAAAATTCTATCAAAAATAAATAATATTAATCCAATTAATATTTAAATAACGTAACACAGTGTTAAATTTCCTTATTTTCATATCCACAAAATTATCCACACAAAAATGAAATTATTAGCACTAAAGGACACTTTTCACGACAAGCGGACATTCTATAATGTTACTAGGGCAGTGTAAAATAACGACACTATGAAATAATATTAATTACATTCAATTAGGAAATAACGTCAGTCAATACGCATGCGTGATAAATGACGTGGGCTGCTTAATTTGCATAATAACGGACCCTTAAAATCGTGATCGTTTCTTCACAAAACACGATAACGGCTAGTCTTGTACCCATTATTATTAAAAAATTAGCTTGGGCTATTGAATAAAAAGGCAATGGATAGGTGTGCCTATTCAATAGAAACGACTCCACCCAATTTTAACTAACAAAGTTGAAACGTTTAGTTTTTATTTGAAACCGTGGGATTGGGCTATACAATAAAATAGTGATAATGCCTTTGATCGGTCATATAAAATATTCCTAGTTTCGTATTATCTGTGGTTTTCACTCATGTACCCTAACTACACTAAGATATATAATTATGGATATTTTTATTTTTGGAAACAAAAAAGGCGTGAGAATCCGAGTAAAAGCACAAAAATGTGTGAAAATTGCTTCAAGGACATGGGCATCATGCCATTCGGAATTGAGTCCATTATGATATGAATTTGATCTGTTGAAAGGTCACTCCAAGAAAACTTAATACTTATCTACCACAGTTCTTGTTTAAAACATTTTTAACATCGCATCAGCTTTTTGAGGTATTTCTTAATGGCAAGATTTACCGTGATATTTGAAGAGTTGAGCAATATTCGAATCATTTATCGTTAGTTATACCTTGGCCGGAGTTATTCAAGCATGGCAAACACCCACCGAACAATAAATGTGTACGATCCTGGCCGTTAGGTGATAATTTTGTCAATGAAGTGAAATTTGTAAGAAATATATTAATATGTATATCATGTTTTCATAGACAATGTCATATAATAAATATATTAATCCATGTCTTTTTTACTTCTAAATCACTCTTTTATTTATTTGATTAATTTCTTTCTTTTTTAGTCCAAGTAATGTTGCTTATTTATATTCATTTGATTTGTTTAACCCTTATTTGTTGATAAATAAATTCTGTCCTTTTTACCCAATAACAACCAGGGTGGAGTAGAGTGGGTTAAATAATATGAGATATTTTACAATAATGATTTGTTTTGTTATGTGAGTATGGCTATAAAATATGGTGTTTACCTTGACGTTTGATACGCGTTTATTATATTCTTTTATTACAAATAATAGTCAGTATAATATATAACATATTGGGCGAAAAGAAATTATTTAAGGAGCAAGCTTCTACAGTTTATTTCATGTACCCAAACGTGCATTTTTTAATAGCAAAACTTAAGTTCGCGATACAATTATTTTCAATTCAGATGGTCCATAGTTACCAACTTTGTGGAAACACCATATCAACAATTTTATCGGGGTAAAATGTTGAGTTGTCTAAAATACCTTGGCAATTCCTGAGAAGCCTGGGTCAGTGGCGGAGTCAAAGGAGAGGGGAGGAGGAATCCCCCTAACTAACTAGGTTAGAAATTCGGGCAATCTTCGGACGTAAACCTGGCCTGGGTTACTGGTACCCATTGAAAAGCTTTCAATTCGTCTTGTTAATTTTGTCAAAGAATGCGAAGGTGTACCAAAAGGTTGTGTACAAACAAATGTTAAAAAAATCTTTATATAATTATGCTTTATATCATGTTGGTAAGTCAGTCCTATGAATAATCCTAAGATACGATACATTTCTGTGACAATCCTGATCACATGATCATGCAGTGCAATGTTATCAATTCCGATTGTAGTTTTGGTGATTTTGGCCGTGGCAATAAAATTGACAAAATTTGATTATAAACACTTTGGCTTTCAGTGCATAGCTCACACCCCTTATTTTCACCTCATTATAGATAGAGAAATTACACCGATTTAAAGGACCCTAAAACCAGATCTGTACTTTTTGAACCCATTATTAACATTGGGCTATTCATTTTTTATTATAATAAATTCTTAAATACGCATGTTATCAATTGTTCCAAATAAAATGGAGGCTTTAACATTTACTAGTATATAATTTGATACATATTGTAAATAGCATCAATGTTTGCTTTTGGCATCCTTAAAGCTTTACATTATCTAGTCCTTAAAGGGAAACTGTCTGCAATCAACGGAGCCAAAAATAGTTCGTCAAGCTAGTCGATCAAACCTTTATCAAAGGTCTCGGCCACACAAGAAACTTGCCATCATTATTATACTAAATATGGCTACAAATCTATCTCATCGAACGATTAGGAAATGGAAATCGATATTGTTTATATATTAATTCGTCATTTAGCTCCTGTTGTCAATTATTTGAATCTGTTTTGATAAATGCTAAAATGCACCAAATTCCATGCATTTTCTGCCCTCCGAATATTCATCCGTATTTATTTCATTTCATAGTGTTTCGTGTTATGATTTTCAAATACAATGCTTTTCCATATTTTGCTTTACTGAAATAAAATTTTAAATCGCACGACAAACTTGTATTTTAAAGCTAAATTATGTTAGCAGTTGTCCTAACAGTCCACTACTGTTCGGTGTTGACCTAATAATATTAAGTATTTTTTGAAATAAAAAACAAGCTAATGGGAAACATTTCGACCATGGAAATTCGGTTAAATCAGTTAAAACCTCTATAGTATGTTTGTCAATTTTTCACGCTTGAGTCCAAAAGTAGTCAATTAATCGTAAAAATTTGGCCCTACTATGGATCAATACCGTGTGTAGTCAACATAAAGATTACATTGAACATAATAGCGGTGGACTATCCTTTATATATGCTTCAAATTGTTTATATTGAGTATCCCGCTGTCAGTGTCCGCTAGTGAAAGTTACAAAAAATGTAAATTTGACATCTTGCATCGCGACTAGACATGCTTTTTTGCATTGCTTGCCATGCAAACAAATGCAATCTTCGAACGAGACTTGCGGTGTAGAAAATTAAGACAGGGCACAGATCGAGAGGAATATAAGTGGGTTGTACGGGTCTAGGGACAGGGACCTATAGGGCATGGTCAAAAATAATCAAAATTGTGGTTAAAAGAGTTCCGAGTTAATCGGCAAAATGTGAAAACTATCTATATCGACATCTACCAATTTCGTCAAGAACTGACACGACACAACCTTGGATAATATACGCTTAATTTCCCACTAAACTCCTCTGCCCATCATCTACAATTAATAACAGTTCAAATCCTTATACAGTTAAAATACTTTTCCGCTTCGTTGATGTCGTTGAAGGATATACCATGAATTAAACGAATAAGAGACACACCTGTTTAGATTGATATAAATGGACAGTACAGAAAGACATACCTGTAGTAGACATTTCATAAGCCTATCTCACCGTTTTACTTTTTTATAAGAATTTAAAAAACTCACCAATGATGCAATCCTATCATGTGAAAGAAATTTAGGAAAGGTTTGATAAATCACTAGTGTTTTGTTTTTTTGTAATTCCACTGGAAAGTACAATACTAATTAATTTATTGTGCACTACTACATCATTTTTCTTATAAATCGTTTCAAAATGCAATGCAAATTTTAAGTATAAATTTACCCTCTATAAAATAACAGCACTGACAGTCCTCATGACAGCTCTACAGTAAACGTTGGTCAATTATCAAGATATCAACCAACAAGAAATGTTTCGATAAACCACCGCATTTCTCAGAAGCTCACCAAAAAGGTTTTTTTTATAGGGATATAGACAGAAGAAAACATTGCATTTCCTTGAAACAATGAAATGTTAACAGGATTTTGCAGAAATAGTATCGTGTAAATTTCAAAGTGTGGCCTATTTCTATATACTCTTATAAATGGTGTACAGTTACTAATCTATATTCTCCCATTATTGGTTTTCCCCTAAAGTAACTTCCATCAACATTTTACATACCTTAGCAGGCGAAATAATATGATAAAATATTAAAACCAGCTGAATTGGTAATCTGGATGTTTGTTGACTTGCTCTTTTCTTCAAAACTCGTCCACGAACCTGAAAGTTTTTAAACATTGTCACGATTGCCAGCCAAGATAAAGATACGCCCATACAGTAGCTCTGTTAGATTTTTAGACTTTTAGATTCAATAAAGATCAGTATGAATCATAATGATTAATCTGTCACGTTTTTGTTCAATACTCAGAAAAAGTTCATTTCAAATGTAATCAACTCTTTACTCAAGACTTTAATAATTCCAATTATGACACACCATGTTTCAAGTCAATTGAAAATTGCAGTTTCTATTGTGTGTATGATCAAATTGTGACGCGTTTTAAGTGAAGGGCAATATCTCAAAAAACGGTTCACTGATAAATCGTTGAATAAGAAATTATCTAAGATCTCATTCATATAAATAATCAGATCAAATTTCATCAAAATCCAAATTACTTAGTCAGAGGCCATGAATTCCTCTAAACCCATTCATCGAAAAATCTTCGAATTCGGTTTCATCGATATAATCACTCCAATTTCATTCACATCAGATGAAAACTGTAGTGCATTTCCAACACAAAGATCTCATCAGTATAAATGGCCACACCGCGTTTCATTCAAATCAAATAAAAATGTTCTCTATTGTGCTCACAAGAAATGTTGAAAGACGACAGAAAAAGATAGCTTGCCAGGCATTGTAACATACGCCCACTTGCAGCTTTGATTTTGAACAAAAATATTTGGCAGTACAGTAACAATCCCCAATATGAAATATTCAACCTTCAGTCATACACTTCTTTTTATATTTCGGGGGGATACTGAATAATATTACCAAGTTTCATCAAAAAATATCAAGAATTGTGCCTTCTTGAATGTTTACGAAAATTGAACGCATTTTCAAGAACAACGGCAATAATTCATACTAAATATTTTTCGATTTTTCTTATTTTCAATAGGGTTCATCCTTAGGTGATAACAAACATTGAGCAATTGTGTACGGACGGACATGTCCCATTTCATGTGGGCGTATAAAAATGAAAATTTAATCCCAAATTTACTCAGCATTTTCGTCGTTAACATCCGCGAGATGATGTGTTGACTGACGATTATTGTCATAAACATACAACTATAATATATTATAGATAAATAACCTGCTGACCAATAATTGTGTTTAGCGAATAATGCTTTCTTTTACATCTTAAACAAATAGTTTTATTATTTTTTCATTATGTCCCAAATTCCAAGGAGAGGTAGGCTGCCCCGATCCATTTAAGTCTACCCCCTGTTTAGTTGAGCCACTTTAGCCTAAGCCTTATATCTTGGTTTTGTACCTACAGAACGCTAATCAATATGTATTCAAGAGTGTGAGACCCTGACACTCGCTATACCATTTCCCACTTTCTACACATGTACTTTGCAAATCCCCCAATCAATCGAACTTGATTTGTCTTAACTGTCAACGCGGAAAGATTTATAACATAAGTTAGTGGTCACAATGACATCCGACAGATTTGATTGCAATGGAGAGGTTACCAATTCAATCCAGTATAAAACGCCGTTATTCATTTCCATATATATATATATAGAGAGAGAGAGAGAGAGAGAGGTCGGTGTCAAAATATACAACACATACAATATATCTAGAAGTGACAAACAATGTCCTATTTTCGAAATTGATTTGCTAAATCTCCAGATATTATATTTAAGTGTCATTATTCTATTATATAACACTTTATGTAGAGTTGAATGAACGTTTATGTAGAATCGAAAATACACTTTCTCATGGCACGTAATGGGCTCTCACTATGTCAACTTCTATAATGCCTGCAATCTGTTGGTTTAATTATGTCTTGGTTGACAGTTGCCATTGGCTGTCTGTCTATGGTATACTTTCTAGAAAATATTAGATCCTGCCGTCTTTCTATGCTATCTGTCACCATGGGTCGGTTTGTTTTGCTCGTGACTATCAGCTCAAATGAAGTGCTTGAATTGTCGGTCGACCCGAGGCCCAACTTAAGGATCCCATCCAGATGTCCATATATGATTGTTAATTCAAAATAAGCAGATTTACATATTTTCAAAACTGTTTTCATTCTTTGCCAAAGAAGTTTATTTCATCACAAGCACACGAAATTATGAAAATTTGTCTTGTTCAGTTCGTACTGAATAAAGAAGTGTCATGGTCGCTTAATTGAGTGATTTTGATCTCACAGAAGTGTAAATACGTGATTTCTGGTCGCGTAATGACGGTGGTCGCATATTGAAGGTGATCATTTAATAAAGGTGGGCGCACGACCAGGATATACTGTACATGTACCTAAGTGTTGCAATATTGTGTATTTTTTTCATGTTTTGTCATAATTCTTTTTTGCAATCGAGTTTAAACACATTTATAAAGGAGTTGCATTATGAAATCACTATCAATTGACATGAATGTCATTAATTGTGTAATGAAAAAAAGAAAATCTATTGAAACATGTTATAAAAGTTTTATAATAAATAATTCTTCCTTCTTTAAATATTATTGATCCAATATCAGTTTTAAGAAAGTTGTATAATGGGTAACAAAATAACATTGAAAATGTTGTCTTATATTATTATAGTCATAATAAGAAAGGCAAAAACCAAATCTAGAATCACTGTAAGATAGAGTTTAAAACATTAACATTGATTTTTAAGATGTCGTCGAGCTTACACTGGAGAGTACACTTTTTTTCAATAAAATTTGTATACCTTTCCTCATAAAGACAGTCAGTGGCTCATCTAGGTTAGTGGAGACCCTTTCCCCCGTGTTTGAGAGTTTTAACCAAAAAAAAACAGCCGCTTATTTGTTAACGCCAAAACTATTTTAAAAGATTACGTAACTTTGTGTAAACTTCCAAAGTTCATTATGTTTTTTGAAAGCTGTTACAAAACTAAAATAAACGCATAATTGAAGAGAAATATGTTTCAAAAGATTCGAAATTCATAGTTTAAGGTCTTGTTGCCACGCTCGGAGCTGTTCACAGTTCTAGTTATCCCTTTAATTTCGTCGAATTTTCTTTATTCAATTTAATCAAATAAAATATCGAAAAGATAAAATCGCTTAATAAGAAATAACAAAATGAATAAGAAAGATCTAATATCAATGAATTGAATAAGAGTATTGAAGTCTAAACTTGTTATAAATCGGTATTGTTAGTAATGAAATAATATTGCCACACCTATAGCATGGATAGTCCGAATAATTTTCTCATATTTTGATTCACATTTAAGCATTTCTGTGAACAACGTTCTGCCTTGTATGCTAGTTCGAAACATCTACCTCTATTCCAGCCTCTGGTAAATATTTTGACTTAAAGATACGTTTTTTCTGACATAATATTAAATTATCTTTACGATGACTGCAAATTAGTGTTGGGAATCGCTTTTGTTGCTTGATGCAATTAAACTTGGGTCGCCTATAACGTCATCTATGCCTGCCTTGGTTATCCATGCTGGCCATTTTCCTGTTCTATGCATATGCACTCATATCTACATTAAAACGGGACGAATTTTACTAATATGTACAATTTTGTGATACACGTAATCGTCCTGTGCCAAACGATTTTTTATATATCATTCTCAAAGATGCATCAGTTTGAATATACATTTCATTACATCAATTTATGCACACGGATATCACAATAGTGTATTGGTGTTATTTAGTTATAAATAGTCTTCATCAAGTTATATTTAGGGTTTCTGATATCTGTCAGCAGGTTTCGGAATATAGGTCAGTAAGTGAGTAGAGTAAGTGAAACGTGAATATTATCATAGCAAAAATATGACAGAAAAAGATCTATAATTATCATAAGAAACTCGGGATAATCAATTCGTTTCGACTAAGAAAAAATGTCCAATATTATAAGAGGATAATATCTTGTAAAGTTTCGTCTTCGCCCTTCTGATAGATAATAAGTCGCGTTAAGCGACACACTAATGCAATATGGCGGGACTTTTGACCATATATAGACCTTCTATGCTACCATGTTAACTCGTTTTTGACTCTCCAAATAGTGAGTGACGAAATAATACAGTTCGGTTGTGACTCAAATAACTCGAGTCTCACCCGGGCTCTAATCGAAGTCACCCAAAGATGTCTGGATCGATATAGTATATTTATATCTTCAAATGATGCAAGTCAGAGAAGAAAGGAACTTGTCGTGCACTATGCATTATTGAAGATGGGTTTTCTTATTTTTTTAGTGACAAATTAAGCAAACTATTTGATTAATTGATGTTTCTAATGAATTATCATGTATTCATAATCATATCATTTTGTTCTTATTGCATATAAATAAGAGTTTTAATGCTCATGTATGTACGGTCTGGATATACAACAAAAAAGACTTTTTTACCTTTCTTGATCGGTCACT